CCCCGGCCACCTCCCCCGAGAAGCCCTCCGTCCTGCTTGGGAACTCCCTGGCTCTGCCCCGCATGCTGCCGACCCGGGACAGCATCCTGAACCCCAGTGACAAGGAGGAGGCACCCACCCCCACTCCGGGCAGCATCACCATTCCCCGGCCCCAGGGCAGGAAGACCCCAGAGCTGGGCATCGTGCCTCCACCCCCCACCGCTCGCCCAGCCAAACTTCAGGCTGCCAGCGCCGCCCTCGGGGACTTCTCCTCAGAGCGGCTACAGGCTGAGCGGGAAAGGCGAGCTCCCCGGAGCCCGGCCCCGTTCCCGGGGCTCCTCCCCAGTGCTACCCCACAAGGACCCACCGAACTGCTCCAGCCGCTCAGTCTGGCCCCTGGGGCCACGGGCTCGGGCAGTGACGCCCTGTTGGCCCTCCTGGACCCACTTAACACGGCCTGGTCAGGCAGCCCTCTTCCGCCGCGCCCTTCAGCCCCGAGTGTAGCCCCCTCATTCACTTCCCAGTTCAGCTTCCCACCAGCGGGGACCCCCACCCCGTTTCCACAGCCATCACTCAACCCCTTTATCTCTTCTGTGCCTGCGGCGCTGCCTGCCATGCCCCTGGTCTCCACAGCGGCCGGGCCTTTTGGGGCCCCTCCTGCTTCCCTGGGGCCCGCTTTTGCCCCCAGCCTCCTGCTGTCCAATTCTGGCTTCTGTGTCCCACACAGATCTCAGCCCAACCTGTCTGCCCTCTCCATGCCTAACCTCTTCGGCCAGATGCCCATGGGTGCCCCTGCCAGTCCCTTGCAGCCCCTGGGCCCCCCAATGGCCGCCCCATCAAGGATCCGAACGTTGCCCCTGGCCCGCTCAAGCGCCAGGGCTGCCGAGGCCAAGCAGGGGCTGGCCCCGAGGCCCGGAGACCCTCCACTCCTCCCTCCCAGGCCCCCACAGGGCCTGGAGCCAGCACCGCAGCCCTCTGCTCCTCGGGAGGCCAAAGACCCCTTTGAGGATTTGTTACGGAAGACCAGGCAAGATGTGAGCCCAGCCCCAGCCCCAGCCCCGGGCTCCGTAGAGCAGCTCAGGAAGCAGTGGGAGACCTTCGAGTGAGCTGGTCGCTGGAAGAGGGCGAGCCGGGCCCCTGCACTGCACTGTGGGCCGCCGTGCTCCCAGGCTAGCCGGCCCTGCTTCCCCTGCTGCTCTGTTTCTGCCCAGGTTCTACTGGTGGGAAGGGATGGGACCCCTCTCTGCCGCCCCTCCTCCCCTGCATACCACCCATCTCCGAGGTCTGGCTGCTAGAGAATGGTGCCAGTTCTGGCCTGGGAATGGGCCCAGCCCCTGGGCATCCCCCAACCCTGCCGCCACCCTTCCCCTGCACCCCGATTAGGTTTTGCACTAAAGCGGTCAGCTGGGCGAATGACTGTCCCAGACCCGGCCCCACCCACCATCCCCCTAGAAACGAGGAGCCCGAGGCTCCACAAGGCCTCTCCTCCCCAGCCCTGTTGGCCCACCGGCAGCCCGGCCTCCGCACCCCACCAAGACCAGCACAGGAGGCCACGTGGGAGCCTCGCGTGAGCATGTCTGCACCAGACTCCTGTGGTTTGGAGTTGGGAGTAAGGAGAATCAGCCTTAGGACGGGGCATTTCCAAACCCTCTCTAGCAATACGCACACTCGTTCTTTCTTTCGTCAATCTTCACCCCAGCCCTCAACCTTCAGTTCTTTCTGGCTTGGTAGGGATTTGGGGCTGAGGGGTCCTTGGGAACCCTCTTGACAGCCAAACACAGCCGGGCAGCCGGCCCTGGCTGGGGGCTGGGAGCACCAGCAACTCGGATTTGTAGGAGAAAAAACAGTAGCAGGTAAATTGAGTGCACTAGGAGGAGGCAGGCCGCCGTCCTGTACTCTCCCTCTGGCCGCTGGGGTTTCTCCAGCTCTGTGTTACTCAGATGGGGCTCTGCCTCTTGTGCCTGGGACTGTGGGGGGCGGGGCTGAGAAGCAGGCACCCAGATTCCAACTGGGAAGACAAGCTTCATGCCACAGGCTGATGCAGGAGGCCCAGCCGCCTAGGCTCCTTGAGTCAGGAATGGCCAGGGGGCACTGAGCCCTTCTCCAGGCCCTGGCAGGGTGGACAGACGGCTTCTTGCGCAGTTCGGAGACAGGAGAAGGGCCAGGAGCCACCCCCCCCCCACCCACGTAGCATAGAAATTCCTGAGGCCACCGTCACCAAAGCTCAGTTGAAATGTTTTGTTATTGTTTCTTTTATCTATCTTTTCCTTTTTACTTTATTGATTTGATGAATCTTAAAATTGACTAGTTTCAATAAACCGAGTTAAAATACAGCCCAACCATGTAAGAAAACAACCATCTGAGACATGCAGGAAATTGTGAGCATTTTGACCTGATTTCTCATTTCCTATTTGTGAGTGGTCAGACACACAGTCTCAGAGGTGTCTGACAGGGCAAGGGGGCCCCAAGAGGCCCCTCTAGCCCCGGGGAGCTTTGTCCCCGTTTGAGGGACCCTGAGGCCTGGAGGGCGGGCCCTGAGGTTCTCGGGCATGGGGATGTGATGAGCTGCTGGCCCAGCACGGTCCCCCTTCCTGAGTCGGGCACAGCCCCCTTGGGCAAGGGGCGCTCGGTCCTGGAGGCCTCTCTGGCTGCTGAGGGGGCACAGGGAGCCGCGGGATGTCTGGGCACGCGGGAACCCCCAGGCCTCTCAGGTGTTTCAAGACAAGTTCCAGATCTGCCCACCCATCCTGGGCAGACCCCTGAGCCCAGCTGGGGAAGGGAAATCTCCCCACCCCACCCCTGTAGGCAGGGAATGGGACAAGAGGTATGGTGGGGCCCCAGGGAAGCAGAGCCCACCCCATGGCCTGTCTCCCCGGCTGTGCTGGGGGCTGGTGGGGAGCCCTCCGTGTCCCAGGAGCATGGTCATCTCTTCACTTGCTGTATTGAATTCGCACCCAAGGTTTAATGTTGCGTGTGCGTTCAATAAAATCATCTTGGGGAGAAGGTTGGTATCCCTGCGTCCTGAGGAAGCTCTGGGGAAAGGGGAGGGTTTAGAGCAGTCAGGGAAGGATTTGGCCCCTAGCCCACACCCCAGCTTGTTCCACTGGAGCCCGTGAGCCCAGGCCCTTCCTTGTCCCAAGCAGGGCGGGGGGGGGGGGCGGGGGCAGGAACTGGTCACAGGCACGCGCAGGCTTGGTGGGTCCATGGAGCAGGGCTGCTGGTCACTGATGGTGCCGAGTGTTCCCTGACTCCAGGGAACAAGTTCAAGCAAGAGAACAGCAGGAGATTGAGCCCCACGGATCTCTCATTAGTAAGGGCAGAGCCTTAGAACCTGCACCTCTGTGGGGTGTTTGTGTTGGGAGAGCTGGACCAAGCCCCCAGAGTAGGGGTTCAGCACACCCAGTTGCCCCTCATCAGCCCATCATCTGGTCATGCTCCCCTCCCCTGGCTGCCCTTGAAAAGGACAGGTGCCAGAGCCCTTAGGAGCAAAAGAGGACAACATAGGGCTCCCCAAAAAAGTGGTACTTTTATTTATTGGCGTTTCACGTGCCTTAGAGGAGTCTGCAAGAATACAAGTTTGCCAAATCCCTGATTTAATAAAATAACCAAGGCGCCAGCTGTGGCTAAATTGCTGGTACCAGATCATGATGGAGAGAGTTGGGGGAAAGGCACCACCTCTTACAGGATAAGGACGAAGCAAGCCCCTTACCCTAGCGTTCAGGGCACTTCCGTCCCAGCCTCGGCCGAACCCCTCAGTCTCGGCCACCCGCGTGCTCCCTTACCCCCCATTGCCACATGGCCCTACTTCAGACTTCACGCCTGTGCCTCTGGAAGCTGGTGAGACCCTGAGGGGGGCTGAGAAAAGTCAACTCTAAGTGGAAAGGGGCCTCCTGGCCTTGGCATAGGGGGCACTGGCCTGGGAAACCGAAGGACGGGAGGGCACGTCTCTAGATCAGGAGGGAAGGGACTTCATGAAACTAGGAGGAGGCCAGCCACTCGGGCTGGGGGTGCACCTCTGGGGTCGGTGCAATGGCATTGCCGGGGAAGGGACTAGAAGCAAAGAGAATTTCTCCTGTGCGTCTGTGTCTGTGTCTGCAGGACCAGCCCCGACACAGAGGCAGCGCCAACATTTGCTGAGTTCAGCAAACGACTCTGAGGGCTTCCTGCAAGTCCTGAATCCCACCCGCCACCCCCCGATACACACACAGCCATTTAGAGAGGTGTCCAGGTTGGAGGAACAGGGACAAAAGCTTTGCTCCTTCATCCTCTGGCCTTCTTGCCACCCCCAGGAAAGCCCCTTCCCCTGCCTTCTCTCAGCTCCAGGCTGACAGCCTTTCCTGAAACCTCAAACGGCGACCCAGAGAGCCCGGCAACAGATAAGGCCTGGAGCTCTTGTCCCGTTGCCGCCACTGAGCCTCACAGCCGCCCAGTGAGGTAGGCCCAGGCTCTCCCCCACCCCCAGCCGGCCCCCCAGCGGCAAGGTGCGACAGCTCGGGGCAGCCGGCCCTCCGCTCCTGCAGGTCTGCCCTGCACACGGCCTGGGTTCCCGCACATCCTGTCTCTGGGGCCACTCGCTCATGACCTCCCCACCCCCACCCAGTTTCCCAGCTGCCTCCAAAATGGGATCGGCCTCCGGAGCTGGAGCAGCCCCCAGAGCTGGGGCGCTTCGGTCCCTGGGCTAGCCCTGACAAGGCTGCCTTGAGAGCAGGCCCTACGCCTGCCCCGGGGCTGGGGAGGGTAGCCCCCCCAGCCCCCCAGCCCAGCCGCCCCTCCATGGGATCACCTGCACCCACGACCCCGTGACAGGCACACCCAGCAGAGACTCGGATGTGCCCACGAGTCCCGTCCCGGTTTCTGCAGGTTAGCAGCCCCCAGGGACGTGCTCACATACACTCCCGAACGCACAGCGGGTGCCCCCATGTACTGCTGCCCTGCACAGCTGTGGGCTTCCCGAGGCAAGAGCCGGCAAGTCCAGCAGGAAGTCCACGGCCTTGCCAGGCCCCTTTTGTCCCAGCAGGCCCACTCTGCTTCCCTGAGTGCTCCCCTCTCCTGTCCACAACGGGTGGAGGCAGGGGCTGCCGGCGAAGGGGACGCTTGGCCACCAGGTGTCCTGGGCCCCGCTGCTGCGGGAGGAGGCCGGCCACTGGACACGGCCTCCTGGGGGCCTCGGGTGGAAATCGCCTGGGACCTCCTGAGTGCTGGAGCCAGCCGCCAGGCAGGCCTAGATGAGTCTCTCCTCCGGCGGCACCTTGAGGACACTGTCCATCTCCAGCCGGGCTCCGGCCACCTCCTGCTGGCTGGGGCTGTAGGTGCCCTCGGACTGGCGGCGCTTCCTGGCTGCCAGGATCCCTGAGAGGAGGCCCAGGAGGAGGAGGAGGAGGCAGGCGCAGGCCGCGGGCACGGCCACCTCCAGCAGCGGGAACGGCAGGGGCAGCGGCAGGCCCTTCTGCAAGAGACGCAGTAATGAGGGCTGGGGGCGTGGGTCCATGCTGGTGTGGGGGGAGGTTTTCCCAAACTTCCTGATGGTCCAGTGGAGAAGGGCGGGGATACGCCCTCACTCCCACGAGGACAGGAACCTCTGCTTTATTCTGTGGACCGGTGAATTCCAAGTGCCCGCAACAGGTGGGTGGCACAGGGTAAGCCGCAAAGGAGATAACAGAGGTTTTCCCCAGACACGGGACCAGCAAGCCAGGACTGGCAGACCTCTCCATCTGCCCCCAGGGCCCATGCCATGCCCAGGCCACCATCCTTCAGCCTTGAATTACAGCTCCAGGCCCTTCCTTTCCTGGCCACAGCAGGCCCTGCCACCCGGCCTCCCCCACCGTCTTCCCCCTCCCTGCCATAAACCCAGCCAGTCTGAGGTGGTGGGGACTTGATCCCTCCCTGTCCCAGAAGGTGGTCTGCTTTCTTAGTGTCTGTGGAGACCTTGTTTCATCCCGGGGGAGGCCTCTCAGGCAGTATGTACGAGACACTCCCTGGCCAGGTGGCCTGTGCCGGGCAGGAGTGGAGGGGGCCCGCCCAGCTGAGGGCAAGCTCAGAACCCAAGAGGGTCTGCCCAGGAAGGGGGCCTGAGACCAGGCTTTAGGGAGCCCCGAAACCTCTTCCTCTCTAGGCACAGAACAAGGATGCCCGCATCAAAGGCCTGGACCTTGGAAGCCCCCAAATCACCGAATTCTTAGATTCCAGGGCCTGAGAGTCTCAGACTTGCTGGCCCTTCCTCTGTCCTGTGAAGCCTCTCGGCCCACTGGGACCTGGGTCCCAAGTCCCAGGACCCAGCCCTGAAGGAGGAAAGGCACCCAGGGCTGGAGAGCAGAGTTCCGACCAGCCCAGAAGGGGCTGTCCCCCGCCCCCCCCCCCCCCCCCCGCCCCCGCCAGTACCTCTGGGAGAGCTTGTAAAGCCATTTCCTCCCTTGGCCCCGAGAGGGGAGGGGAGGTAAGGGCGCCAGAGGCTGTAAAGTTCAACTTGAAAGGAAACATTCCCCAGAAGCAGAAGGGATTTGCAGGTTTATGACCGGGGCTGCCAGAAGCCTGTGGAGATCAAGGCTCCTGCCTACCTCTCTCCCATCAGCACCCATGGTGGGCTCGTGGCCCACTGGGCCTGTGGCACCGGTTCCGCCCCTTGGTGGAAAGCGGAGCCAGGGGGAGGTTCAAACTCAAGCTACCCTCATCGATTGGGCCCCTCCTCAGCTGAGTCTCTGGCTGCTCCAGCTCAGAATCCAGGGCTCTCCAAATCTTCCTACTCTAGAATCCTGGCACGCAAACCACTGGAGATTACAGGCCCTTGGAGCCACCAACCGAAACCCCAGAATCCTAAGATCCTGTGAGACCTGAGTCCTGGTCCCAGAGAGGACTTGGCAAAGCCCCACTGTTTCACTGCCAGTCCTCAGAGGGACGGTGGGGCCTCCCAGGCCCTCCCTGAGTCTCCTTCCCTCCTACTCCCTGCCCCAGGACTGGGCTGGTCCAGGCACAGCGCCACGGGCTCTGCAGGTGCTCCCCCCACCCCCAGACCATCTCACCGAAGTCCAGGAGAGGGCCCGCGCCAAGCCCCCCAGGCATCACTCACCACCACTTCGCAGAACCGGCCCGAGAACCTGGCACCGCAGATGCACTCATACAGCCCGCCAGCAGCCCGGCACGTGCCGCCATTCACGCAGGGGTTGACCTTGCAGGGGACCTGACACCTGGAAGGCAAAGAAGGCGAGAGTCAGAAAGCTGCTCCCTCCTGGGGGCCTCTTGCTCCCCCATCGGCTTCAGCTTCTCAACCCCCACCCCCAAATACACAGGTGTCCACCTGCTGTCGCCATGCATGGTCCCCGCCTGGCAGGGCCCTGCCAGGTGACTGAGGCCAACTGTGACCGCTAGCACAGCCCCCCTGTGTCCCACAATCACAACAGAGAATGGCCTGCCGGGGTGGAAGTGTCGGGGAGCCTGTGTGAGGGCAGCGGCCCAGGGATGTGGACGCCCTCTCTCTCCAACAGGCCCAGAACCTGCCCAGCTGTGTCTCCCTAGGTGGTGCTGAGGTGGGCTCAGGGCTCAGGGGTGGGCACTGGGGGCCGAGGCTGAGGTTGATGCTGAGGCTGAGGGCTGAGGCTGAGGTCCAGGGCTGGGGGATAAGGATGAGGGCTGAGGCTGGTGGATGAGGGCTGAGGGCTGAGGCCCTAAGAACCACCACCAGGCCACTACTTTCCCAGTGACAGCCTAACAAAGGATGGTCTTGGAAACCCCGGGAGGAAAGAGCTCAAGTGACAGAAGTGGACCGTCCGGCACTGTGGACACAGTGAGGGTTGAGGAGATGAGCAACAGTCCATACCCCGCTCTGTCTGCCCTGCCTGGAGGGGATACAGGCCCCCCTCCCCTGCCCAGCTCCCAGGCCCACCTCTGGCCACCAAAGCCCTCCTGGCAGCTGCAGTTGGTCCCCTGGGGCCCACCCTCACAGGGGCCACCATCGAGGCAGGTGAAGTTCAGGCTGCATTCCTCCGGCACGACAGGCAACCTGGGCAGGAAGCACAGAGACCGCACTGGGTGGGGCCAGCACCCCGGGGACCAGACCGGGACCCCAGCCACCGAGGCTACCACAGGCCACCTGAGCCCCCACATCCTGAGCTATAGCGTTCAGGGCCCACCTACTACAGACCCGGATACCCACCATGGAAGTGGTGTCCGAGGTGGAAAGGCTGGGGCACAGGGCTAGCCTCCTGCAGCTCTAGCCCCCTCCCCCAACAAGGAGTCCAACCTCCAGACCCAGGCTGGGAACATCTCCCTGGGCTCAGAGTCCCTAGAGAAGCTGAGGAACATCAGAACTCTCCTTGGAACAAAAGCATGTTCCCAAACAGAAAACTTGGGCAGGACATTCCTTCTTGGGGTGGGGGGGACCCCTACCCCCCACCCTCGGACAAGAGCGGCATTGATCTCAAATTCAAAGTTATCTGGGTTTTACCTGGCAGCTCTAGGGGGCGGCTGTTCCCATTTCACAGATGAGGGCACAGAGGCTCAGAGAAGCGCCCACAGAACCAGAGCTGCGGCTGCGGAGCCCGTGGACTTGGGTGCGGCACCCCCGCCCCCGCCCGCGGAACCCACAGGGCCCCTCCGGCCCAGGCCGCCCGGGCCATCCGCACCTGCAGCGCGGGCCCACGAAGCCAGGCGGGCAGCGGCACTCGAAGCGGCCGTCAGGGCGCGAATGGCAGCGGCCACGAGCACAGGGTGCCGAGCGACACGGGTCGGCGCGGGTCTCGCAGCGCGGACCCTCCCAGCCCGGGCCGCAGGCGCAGGCAAAGGCGTCGAAGAGGTCGCGGCAGCCGCCGCCGTGCAGGCAGGGCGAAGGGACACACACGTGCGCGCCGTGGCAGCCGAGGCGTGGGACGGGTGCTCCGGGCCAGGCCGAGAAGTGCTCTCGGGAGCCGGGGGCTGCGCCGGGTCGCGGGCGCGCCAGGGGCAGCGGGAGGCCGCCGACGGCCACGCGACCCAGGCAGCCGGTGAAGTTCTCGGCCAGCAGCAAGCGGGCGGCGCCGGGGCCGCGCAGGAAGCCCAGGTCGCCGGCCAGGCCGCGCAGCGCCACGGGCACGGTCGCCCCGTCCAGCCAGAGCAGCCAGCGCGACGCGGCGGCCCCCGGGCGCTCCATGGCCAGGCGCACGCGGTGCCAGGCGCCGTTGGCCACGCGCGGCCCAGACCCCGGCAGCACTGCCCCCGGCAGGCCAGGGCCGCTGCGCACGCCGGCCGCCAGCGAGCCGTTGCGGATGGCCAGCCAGACGGCCGCGTGGGCGCCCGCGGTGGCGCGCAGCAGCCCGGCCTCGGAGTCGCGTGTACGGAAGGCCAGCGACAGGCCGCTGAGCGACAGCCGTGATGACGCGTTGTGTCCGCTGAAGGCGACCGCGGGGCCCTCGCGGAAGGTGGCTTCACCCACACCTGCGGGGAGAGGGAGCCTTGGGAAGGGCACAGGGGCAATGACACACCTGCCGCCCCCACGGCCCCCACCCATCTCGAGGGGGGCACACCCACACCCCCATCATCCAGTCCCAGGAGCCATCACCCCCACCACCCTGGCTTCCACCCCTCATAATTCCCTACCTCGGAGAGCCAGCTTCTGGCCATGTGGGGGAGACCTACCCTACCCCATCACGCCAGGCCCACTCTACCCTCCAGGTCACACACCAGGCAATAATTCCTCTGTCCCCTTCCCTCTTCCGTGGAGTCTCAGCACTGAGGCTCACTATTCACTGCAGTCATCTTTTTTAAATGCAGATTTTTAAAAATGCTGATCATGCATTTTAATAAAACGCACTCATCTTTCTAAACTGATCACATCCCTCTCCTGTCTAAAACCATCCCGTGGCTCCCCACTTCCCTTAGGAAAAAGTTCTGAGCTGCCTGGTCTAGCTTTCAAGGCCCCTCCTGGCAATATCTGGACCCCAACACCTTTAACTGTGCTTCAGTTGTTCTTATAAACACTAAGACTTTTGCATATGCTGTTGCCCCTCCTGAAAATGTCCGCCCCTATGCCTAGTCAGTCTTCCTTGTCCTTGGAAACCTGGTGAGTGCTGTCTTCCTCCAGAAAACCTGTCCCTCTTGATGCAGTGGCCTAACCACACTGGGGGCTGTTGGCACCCTGGTCTACTGCCTATGAGCCCTCAGGGTAAGGGTGGGCTCTAACCCAGCCTGGGTGTCCAGAACCCAGCATGTAGGCTGCCCAGAGCACATACTCACAGACAAAGCCATCGGGGACCTCCTCACAGGTGGCAGGCGGGAGACAGGGCTGGCCAGGACACCACAGTTGCTCGGCACATGTTGGCCCCGTGAAGTTGACAGGGCAGGTGCAGTGGAAGTCATTCCAGGTGACGAGACAAATTCCACCATTGAGACAGGGGTCAGGCTGCAGAAAAATCAGGGCAGGGATCGGCTCAGGCGTCAGGCTAGCGCCATCCCGCCATAACCATCACTGTACAGGCTCTTCACTGAGCACCTACTACAAACACATGAACTCCTCACAAATACAGAGAGAGGAAGTCACTGTTGTCCCCATTTTACAGATAAACTGAGGCTCAGAGAGAAGAAGCCACTTGCCTGGCTCATCCAGGCAGGAAATAGGGGAGCCAGAGTTCACACTCGGGCCATTCCAATGCCAAGGTTGGTGTTTTGTCCATGGACCCAAGGACATCCCTGTCGTCTGCGCCCCCTCCCCCACCGTTCCCACAGAAAGGCTCAGGCAGCCCTCTGCCTGGGTCGGGGTGTCTGTCTCACACCAAGACTGGGGAGGGAGGTGGGGGCCAACCAGAGGCCAAGAGCCGCTGGGCCAAGAGATCAGTGTGAATCCTGCTGTGTCACTCTCTAGCAGAGGAAACGTTGGCCCAGCGCTTCACCTCCTGCCATTTTCCTCACCAGAAGGACATGCTAACCCCCAGAGATGCAGGGTAGACCCCGAGAAAGGGACCCACTCCTTTTCCCGGGGAACTCACACTGCATGTGTCCTCGGAGACGCAGCCCACGGTAAGGTTCCGGGACTGCCTGCTGCCCAGCTCACTGGGCTGGCTTGAGTTCCCCAGCAGCAGCGGAAAGAACGGGAGGTGGAGGTCATTGAGTCGCAGGTCCTGGAGGCAGCCTCGGAAGGGCCCACCCCAGGGCTGGGCGTCAGCAGGGAGGAGCCTCCCACCCACGTGCACCTGCTGCCCCAAGCCCTGCAGCTGGTCAGGCCCGAAGCTGAGCGTCACCAGGTGGCGGAGCCCATCGTCCCAGCGCCCAGGAAGCACGAGAGTAGGACTGCCCAGCACCTCGGCCTGGATCTGGCCCTCACTCAGGAACACTGTTAGCCCAGCTACTGAGTCGTTGGCAAGTTGGAGCAGCAGGCCAGCGGGTTCCCGAGTACGGAGGAGAAAGGACATGGTGAGGTTGGGGCCTGGCAGCTGGCGGAGCAGGAAGGAGGCAGAGCTCAGGGTGCCCCCCAAGCCAAAGGTGGCAGCAGGAACCTCTGCAGGGAGAGAGGATGTCGGGTGTGAGGCCTGTGGGCCAGGGGAACGCCCACTCTCTGCCCCGGGGGAACGCCCCACCTGCCTCGCTCCTCACCATCAGCGCAGGTAGGACCACTATAGGGCCGGGGGCATTTGCAGAGGAAGCGAGTCCACATGTCCACGCAGGCCCCTCCGTGGGCACAGGGTGGAGGCTGGCACTGTTCACGGCGCTCGCAGCCCAGGAAGACATTCTCGCCAAGGTCCTCAGGCAACAGGAGGTGCCCGTCCACATACACGTCCTCGAGGCAGCCTTCAAAGGCTGTGCCGCCCAGCCGGGCAAAGCAGAACCTGGCAGGCGTTGGCGCTTCAGAAGCCACAGGAGCCAGGGCCACAGGACTGGAGGCCACACAGAGGCGGGCAGGGCAGTCCTCATGCCAGAGCTGCAGCTCCAGGACCCCCAAGCGCAATGAAACCTCCACTTTGTGCCACTGACCATCATTTAAAGCCAGGTCTGGCAGCTTCAGTGTTAGTGCAGTGGTGTTGCCGTGGCTCCAGAGGGTGGCCTGAAGTGTGCCCCCTGCCAGTGCCAGCTCCAAGCTATCCTGGGCGTCAGTGCGAGCGGCCAAGACACCAGCAGGTAGTGTGGTGCGAAACCTCAGTGCCAGACCCCGGGGGCCACCGGCTGGCACGGATGTCTGCACAGGGCTCCCAGCCACCACAGAGAAGGTGGTATTCTGGCCACAGAAAGATCCATGAGTACCGGGTGGGCAGCGGCAGGCGTAACTGTGGACCCCGGCCTTGAAGATGGGGATGCAGGTGGCAGCTGGTGGGCAAGTGTGGCCCTGGCAGCCGGTGAGCTGCACGGAACAGTCATGCCCACCCCAGGCCTCTGGGCACTGGCAGACATAGCCTGCCACAGTGTCGTCACACGTCCCACCATGGAGGCAGGGCTCCGACAGGCATTCATCCACATCTTCCTGACATGCCAGGCCTTCAGGAGAGACCAGGTCAAGGCTCAGCACTCAAGGCAAGAACCGAGCACTCAAGGCAAAGCTTACATGCTTTGTGGGACGGGGATCTCAACACCTAGTGACCGAACCAATTCCCAAAGGATTTCTCATGGTCCCCTAAGTTCCTGGAGGCTGGAATCCAAGATACCCCTTCCTTTTCCATGTCTGGTGGATCTCCATGCCCCGTGGATTCTATCCCCTAAACACTCACTGGTCTTGCCTTTTCTCCCATGCCACCTTTCTGACTCACCAGCTCACAGGGCCACAGTCTAATGTCCTCTACTTTGCCTGCCTTCAACCCCCTCTACCATCCATCTCCACAAGGAGTCAGAAGCCTATTTCCAAAGCATCACCTGGCCAGATTCGCCTGCTTAAGATCCAATCACTCACTTTGGCACTCAACATTCCTTACGGGCTGGGCTCTCCATGGCCCCAAGTCTCAACCCTGCTTCCTCCAAACCTTGAACTGCCTGTTCCTCTAAGCATTTCCTAGAAAATACTTCCCGGGGGCTTTGCTCGAACTGTTTCTCTGCTTGGAATGCCTTCTCCTCACTTACCCAGTCAAACTCCTACTCATCCTGCAAAGCCCAAATTCAAAGGGCCAGGCCCCTAGGAAGCTTCTTGGATTCCCAGTCCCTAGCTCTTGTGTCACTCCCAACTCCTTGCCCAGAAAACAGCTCCCCAGAACCCTGTACTGAAAGTATCTGTTTACTCAGCTGAGATCTCCGGGGCCTGAATATGCCCAGCAAAGGGCTTGACCTGGCTTTTGTGGACAAAGTGCCAGAATGGGGGAGGAGGGGATGGATGGATGCACCCAGGCTCCATCTCCCAGTCCCTCTGCCCCGGGGCCCCAGGCTGACTATGGAGGGGGTCACCTCACCCTCTCCTCCAAGGGCTCCCACACGAGGTACTTTGGCCCCAGCTTGGGTCAAAGGGCCACAGCCCAACTCCAGCTCAGCCAGAGCCTCCACAAAACAACCAAGGCCAGCCCTTCCCATCATACCCCAACTGGAGGAGCCCAGGCCCAGAAAGGCTGCCAGGATTTGAACCCTGACCCCCGTGAGCCCCCAACCACCATGGCCTCTTTTTGGGAACAGCCAGACACACCTCATCCTGCTCAAGGCCCCAGCCCTGCATACCTGCCAAGAGCCACAGGCCCCCCAGGAAAGTCCACAGAGCCGGCAGCTCCATCAGATTTCCCCATGGATGGCCAAGAGTGGCGGGCAGGTCGTGGGCCAGGAAAGCTAAGCTCCCCGCCTGACCAGCCGCCTCCTTCAGAACTGGCTCAGGAATGCCAGGCACTGGCCTCCCCCAGGCCAGCACGACCCAAAGGGAGGATGGGGATGGACAGCGGCAAGGAGCCCAGCCCTATGGTTGGGGTTCCCCCTCCCGGGCCCTGACCTCAGCTCTGACCTCCTGTCACCCATCAGCTGAGCTCAGCTGGGGGAGGAGCTGGGCTCTGGCTGACACTGGTGAACCGCAGGGAACGACACCCCCCTCTCAAACCTCCATGACTTCATCTGTAAGAACCCTACCTCGTGGGGGGGGTGATGAGGAGGGAACGAAATGCTCAGAAATGCTCATCAGGGGCCACGCCCACTGTAGTGGGCCTGCCGGGTGCCTGCAAGACCATTGCTTCCAGGCAGGACTTGGGGAGTCTCAGCCCACGGGGGGCAGTTGATGGGCTTCCTGGGTGGCCGCCCTGGGGCAGGGGACACTGAGCCCAGCATCTTTGGGCTGCTGAGTTGGGAGGGAGGGTGGTGATCAGCACCTCCTTGCCCTGGGCGGGGGAGCCAGTGCCCAGGAAATGTGCCAGGGAGAGGAGGCAGTGTGCCCAAGCAGGAATGCGGGCGGGCGCAGGGGAGGTGTCGCACACATTCCAGAGGGGGCAGGGACACCCGAGGAGGATGTGAGCACTTCTTTGGGTTCACCAGCGTCCTGGGAGGGTATCTGCGTGTCTAGGCATCTGCTGTACCCGAGGCAGGGAGAGGCTTTCTGCAACCCAACTCCTGCCTGAAAGGCCCCAGCTCTGCAGAGGTCAAGCTCACTCTTCTATCTGTGATCCCCTCCTTTACCTCTTCTGTCCTGTCCCTGCAGGGGCCCTTGGCCTCTGCCCTGCCCTAGGATGTCAGGTGCTTAAGGTTCTCTTTGCCCATCACTCCACACATTGGCTCCAGCTGCCAGGACAGTACCCATGAACCCCGGTCACTGGTTCTTCCTGGGCCCCAGACTCCAGACCACCAGCCCCCATCCTGGCTCCTCCCTGTGGGTGCTCCGCAGACACTTGGACTTGGTATAGACAAGTATGGACACCCAACCAACATCACCCAGAGCAGAAGCAGCCAGCATCTCTGACCCTTCTCACTCATGCCTGGACTAACTCCCAGGGCCTCCAGAACTCCCCCCTGAAATAGTTCTCAACCCACTTAGTTCCCCCCACTTTCGCCTCCAAAGCCCAGGTCCCCAGCTCAGCCTTTCTTAGCTGTCACCAGCACATCCACCTCCTTCCTGCTCTCCTTGTCCCCATCAATCCAGCCTCCATGCATCAGCCAGAGGAAGTTTCTCAGCCCAGGCCCCCCGATCTGCCCTTGCCCTGTCCTGGGTGCCCACCCTGCCCCCCGCACCTGTGTAGCCATCTGGACAGTGGCACTGGAAGCCGTTGGGCAGGTCCTGGCAGCGGCCACCATTGAGGCATGGCTGTGAGGCACACTCGTCCACATCCACGCCACATTCGTCCCCTGCAAGAGGGCCAGCTGTGGTTCCCACCTGTGCCTTCAGAACCAGAGAGCTGGAAGGGCCCATTTTAGAACTATGGAGACTGAGGCCCAGGGAGAAGTGCTAACACAGGCCGGCTGCACCTGTGTGACAAAGCCAGGCCTCGAGCAGAGCCCTAGCATCCTCCCCCCACCCCCAGGCCCGCATCCACATGCCAGTGGCCCGGCTTTCTCACCCTCAAAGCCGGGAGGGCAGCGGCACAGGAAGCCGGCAGCGTGTCGGAAGCTGAAGGTGCCGGGGAAGGTGGCCTGGGCGCCTCCGTAGAGCGCCGGGTCTGAGCGCTGCAGACACTGTCCCCCGTGCTGGCAGGGGGCCGACTCGCACTCATCCTCATCCACCTCGCACTGCTGGCCGCTGTAACCTGGGGGCACACGCACGTAGGTAGCAGGTCACACGGGATCTCCGGGGAGCACCCCTCCGCTGCTGCCAGGCCAACCCGGGGCCAGGCTGGAGCGACTGCTCAGAATACGCTCACCGATGCGGTGAGGGACGGGGACACTGAGGACGGTGGGAACGACTGCGGCAGGCGGTCAGCGTCCTGTTACTATCACTGCTAGTACTACGGAGCCCTTCGCACGTGCCAAGGCTTCACGGGCATTTCACCTTGACCCTCCTCGCGACAATGCTCAGAGCATCTGCTGCGATTAGCCCGATTTTGCAGATCCCCGCCGAAGTGACGTTCAGAGAAGCCGCAGTCACAGACACACCTGGAGGGCAGAGGAGCCCTGGCGCACACCTCCCGGCCGCCCACGCGGCACCACCCGGGCGCGAGCACGCGCACGCGCACACACGCACGCGCACGCACCTGGCCAGCAGAGGCAGCGGAAGCTCCCGAGGCCCTCGAGGCAGGACGCGTTGTTCGCGCAGGGCCCCGACTCGCACTCCAGCACCTCCTGCTCGCAGCGCGCGCCCTCGTAGCCCGTGTCCGCACAGTCGCACCGGAACCTGGAGCAGAGCGGGGCGCAGGCCCGGCTGAGCGCGCCCTGAGCCTCCACCGGCCTCCACCTGCCCCGCTCTGGCGTGCAGCCTCCTCCGCCCCCGCCCCGCCACCGGGCCGCGGCCGCCCGCTCCGCAGCTCACCCGTTGACCAGGTCATGGCACTCGCCCCCGTGCGCGCACGGCTGGCTCTGGCACTCGTCCAGGTCCAGCTGGCAGCGGGCGCCCCCGTAGCCCGGCGCGCACACGCAGCGGTAGGAGCCCACGCCGTCCAGGCACGAGCCGCCGTGCAGACAGGGCGTCGAGGCACACTCGTCCACCTCCTCCTCGCAGGTCACCCCTGAACAGGGCCGGAGACACAGACAGACAGATGGACACCCGGAGGGAGGTCGAACGAGGCCCAGACAGGCCGACCTGCAAGCAGCTTCAGACAGCTACAAGGAGCAGAAACCTGAGGATCCCGAAAGAATCCGTTGGTCCATTTGTCCGGAGGAGGTATCTCTTGAGCCGGCAACAGCAATGAGGTAGAAACAGGACGGCCGTCCCTGCCTCCCTGAGCTCACAGCCGTGGAGCTGGGGAGACGGGGAGACGGGGAAGAGGTCGATAGGACATAGATGCTGACTAATTTTTCACTGTGATAAGCTCAGCAGTGGGAGCATAGTGGATCCCCTAAAAGCAAGACCCAGGGTTCTGGCCTGGGCAGCTGGAGTCAGGGAAGGCTTCCTGAAAGAAGAGACTTTTGAATGATGAGTAAGCATTCACTGAGTTGGGCCAGGGCTGTGCCGGGATTTGGCTTCCAGGCTGGGGAACTGGCCCAGACTAGCTTGGGGCAGAGGCATGATGTCCTCAGAAAGGGAAACAGCGAGGGTCAGGAGCAAAGGACAGAGCAGAGGAGGTGAGGTAGGGCTGGGTGCTGTGGTGGCCTCGGGGGCCCCAATCTGGGCTTATCCTAAAAGTTGGAAGCCACTGAGTTACACGATTCTATCTACACTGTGGAAGGCTCACTCTGCCGGCTTTGAAGAGAGTGTAGAGAGGGACTCCGTCGGGGAGGGACAGGCCCCAGTGAGAACTGCTGGAGTGACCCGCTCCTTCAGGTTTCCCCTGTGCCTTCTTGCTTCTAAAACCCCAAGCCCAGGGAAGCCCCTCTGCCCTGGGCAAAACAGACATCTGGGCGGCCCTCAGGGGTCAGGAGACGAGGGGAGATGGAGAATCTCAGGGTTTGGGGATGTACTGCCTGAATTCATCGGGGGGCCCACATGTCACAGTGGACCCCAGAGGCCCTGCCCTCCCCCACCCACTACATAGGGTTGGCCCTGGGGGACCAGGGACCCAGCTGGCTCCAGCTGGAACCTTCCGCCGCTTCCCAGCTCAGTGAGCACCAAACACAGCCCCTCCTTCCCGTGACCCCTCACTCCTCCCGCCACAGTCCCACTCCCACCCTCTGTGCCAGGGGGAGCCAGGCCCCAGCCGCCTGGAATCCCAGCCTCCCCCGCCCGGCTCTGAACGGAGGGAGGAGGAGCGCAGTGAGTCATGGCAGACTCTGGCCCCGCTCGCAGCCTCAGCTCACCCAGAATGTGCTCCCCAGGGCCCCCCGGGCACGTCTGGTGCATGCACCTGCTGGCCCACACACACGTCCACGGATGCACTCCGGGAGCCCAGACACCCGCAGACAGAGACACACGCAGGCCCCTCACGTGACCTCCCTCACACATGCAAAGCTAACACTCCACCCAGACTCTCAGACGGTGAGGAGGATACGTGGAACCCATTTCCAGAGTCCGTCCCAAAGTGCCTCACTATAAGCTCCCTCCCCTGGAAGCCGGCCCCCCCCAGGGTGCACCCCTTACTCTGAGGCGAACCTCAAACCGCCTTCCGCCCTCAGAGCAGAGGGAGTCGAACTAGAACTGGGAGTGTCTATGCTTCAGGGTCCCCGCTGCCCTGGGCGGAGCCTCTCACAGACCTGTGCCTAGCTGCTCCCCACTTCCTGGCTTCCGGACAGTCGGTCCATTCTGTGGGAAGCCCCAGAGCAGAATACCCCACAGTTTCCAGGATGCCTCGGCGGCTGGGCGGGGGGGCTCTCTACGCTAAACTCAAAGCTCAGTGCGTCATTTTACAGCCTGAGCCACTGACGGGATGGACATCACAGACCTCCGTCCAGGACATGAGGCCATTACCTGCATAGCCAAGGGGACAGCGGCACTCGTAGCGATCAGCCAGGTTGTGGCAGGTGGCCCCGTGGTGGCAGGGCCGGGAGGCACACTCGTCGATGTCCAGCTCGCAGCGTGGGCCCTGGAACCCGGGCACGCAGTAGCAGCGGAAGCCGTAGGGGTCTGGACCCTGGGGCACGCACAGAGCGCCGTGGTGGCATGGCTGGGTGGCACAGCCCTGGGGCTCCATGGGCCCACAGGTGTAGCTGCCGTTCTCCGTAGCCTGGCACTCGGTCCCTGGAGCACACGGGGCTGAGGCACAGACACTTGGGGCCTCCGAAGGCACCATTCCTGTAAAGAGAGAAGATGGGCTGGGCGGGGTAGACCAGGACGCTCCCCTCACCACTGTCCGGCCCACCCCAGACCACGGAGCCAGAAAGCAGGAGGGGTCTGTCTGCTTTCAGGAGGCTAGACGGAGGGCCACGGGCTCTACAAGCTGCATCCCCCATGCCCCTGCACAACTACAGCTGGAACTGAGACTGGTTCAGGAGGGTCTCTGTGAAGGGGAAGGGACCAGAAGCATACCACCCCCACCGCCACCCCTCCCCCCATCATGCCACAGCAGGACTAGAGGAAATTCAGGAGGGTCTCCGTGAAGGGGAACAGGCCAGATACTTACCCACCCCACCCCCCCATGCCCCAGCAGGACTAGAGGACAGACGCTCTCTGACCCTGAGAGCTTTGCACCCTGCTCATCCCCTCCTCGCAGAGCCCCTTTGGGGCAGGCACTGTCGTGCCCATTTTACAAGAGAGCAAACGAGGCTCAAGCGAGAGAGTGAAGACCTTTTTCTTTTAAGATTTATTTCTTTATTTCACAGAGAGCATGCGCGCGCACAAGCAGGGTGGGGGGGAGAAGCAGGCTCCCCCGCTGGGCAGGAGTGGGGCTCCATCCCAAATCCCTGAGATCCTGACCCGAGCCAAGGGCAGATGCTTACCTGACTGAGCCGCCCTGGGGCCCCGAAAGTAAAGACTCTTGCCTGAGCCTCACAGCAAGTTACTAGGACAGCCTTGGAGCCTATCACACGTTTCATCACCCCCACCTGCCCAGAGAGGGGGTCTCCTCCCACCATCCCGTCCACCTCTCCCGCTGGGGGTCTGGCAACTCCATCCCAGGGTGAAACCGGAGATGGAGGACTTCAAAGGCAGGGACTGGGAATTGGGCACCACCACCCCCCACCCCCCCCGCCAACCCGGGCCCTCCTCCCAGCCTCCACTCGCTCACTGTGCGGGGCCTGGAAACCTCTCCGGGGATCCCTGGCCCTCACTCTATTCCCCGCCTCAGCCACCGGCTGACCAGCCCACCTGGCCAAGGTCGCAGGGTGCAGGACACCTGACTCAGGCCACTGCTGCCTCCACCACACCAGAGGGTCACCTGCTAGTCTGGAAGCCAAGCCCCTCGGAGTCAGCCCCGTCCCCTTCTGAGAGCCTGCACAGCTGGTGAAGAACTTAGGCTTTGAAGCAGAACTGCCCTGGGTTCAGATCCCCGCTCAGTTACCAGCTCTGAGACCCCGAGCAGGTCCTTTCTCCTGCTGAGCCTCTGTCTCCCATCAGAAAGGGGATGAACCCAGGGCAGGCCTCACAGCACGGGGGCGGATTCAGAGCCTCAGGTACTGCTGCTGGCCACTCGCAGGACCCCAGTAAGAGCTGGGGGAGGGGAACCGCCATAAAGCAGGAGGCACCCCCCAACCTGGGGCTCTGAGAGGCGCCCTTCCCCTGCCCAGGTTGTCATCCAGACACTAACCAGGCCTAGAACAGCTTCAGGCCCTGCACCTCCCTTCCCCCACCTTGGTGAAGACCCCCTAGATAAGGTTCAGCGTCATCCACATTCCACCAGGCAGGGCCTTCCACTGGCCACCCCCCGCCCTTCCCAGCCGGCAGGATGGGGGACAGGGATGTGGAGACACAGACCTTGGCACCAGAGAGAGAACCTGGCTGGCACTCCCCAGCGCCCAGAGCACCTGGTACAGCTGGGCGTGGGCTCACTCACTCCCTAACGGTGGGCCACCAGTGCCCACCCAGGGCTAGGCATGTTGCAACGGGGCAGAGGGGCTGAAACGCCATCAGGCCAAGATGACCGTGTAGGGCTCTAGTGGTGTCCACAGCCCCTCTCTGACCACTGTTCCCTCCCCAGCTCAGGGCATCCATCCCAGCCCCCTCCCCCAAGCCTGGCCGTGTAGGTGAGGGCCGGGGAGTCTGGGCCTCTCTTGGAGCGGCTTCTGGGCAGCTCAGCTTTCTTTTCCCCACCCCAGCTGCTGTGGCTGATCTGTTTAGAGCCATGTCCTTTAGGGCTAAATGGCCAGATGAAGGTGGGAAGATAATCTAATGGAGGTGGGAAGATAGTCTGATGGGGGTGGGAATGGATTGCGCTCCCTTAGGGAAAGGACAGCGGTTTGGGCATCAGACAGGCCTGGCTTCTGGGGTTCAAACAGTGCCACCTCGTGCTGTGAGAAACCACTGAGGGGACAAGAGTGAAGGCCTGGCCCCCAGTGAGGCTTCATGGAGGGCTGTGGCCATTTTGATCAGGCTCTGGATCGCCATGGGAGCAGGTGGCCCAGGACCCTATATGCTGGCGCCCCACGGAGTCGGAGTCTAGTGACAGGAGAGAAAGGGGCTCCTCCCGTGAGTCAGGCGGAGAGGAAGGAAGCTGCTTATCCCACGGGGCACGCAGTAGCACCAAAAGCCTGGATGGGAGACACCCCTCTTTCTTGTATATTCCCAGTTATCTTCCTGTTCACCTTAGCAGACGCAGAGAGCTGCTATCCTGTTCTACCGCTGAGGGAAGGGAGGCTCAAAGACAAAGGGACTGCACTGTCTCGCAGCCTGTGAGGGGCTGGAATCCAAACCAGGTCCCACTACTCCAGACTTTCATCCCTGGGGCTTCTGAACCTCCGGCTTGTATTAAGGATACAGATTTATGGGAGTGCCTGGGTGGCACGGTCAGTGAACCTCTTGGTTTCAGCTCAGGTCGTGATCTCAGAGTCGAGATCGAGCCCTGCATCATCGGGTTCCGTGCTCAGGGGGAGTCTGCTTAAGATTCCTCCTCCTCTCTAAAATAAATAAATAGATCTTTTAAAGAGAGAGAGAGAATGAGAAAGAAAGAATACAGAATACAGATTTCTATTTCTATTCTATTCTGTATTCCCTGAACTCCAGACCTAGAGATTCAGAGCTATTGGGCCTGGGCCCAGAGAATCTGCATTGCCTCAAGTTCCCTGGGGAACCCTTTGCACATGGAGGCCTAGGAACCGCTGGCCTCAGTCCTCATTCTGGCGGGAGTGACACCAGAAGGCCAGGCCAGCCCTGGGCTGAGAGGTGGAGGTGAGGGCAGTGGGGCAGAGGGGGGCCGGCCCTGGGCCAGGCTGGGGGCGTGGCCTGTTGCCAGGGCGACGAGGGGCCTGTGCTTATCTTTACAAATCCCTCCTGACCTCTCAGGCTGCCTGGGAAGACCTGGCAGGGGAGGGATTAAGGGACACACGCCCCTCCCCTTCGACCTGCTGCCCTGTCCCCGGGCAGGCCCAAATCCCCCCCCCCCCACCCCGCCAAGAAGGGAGGACGATTGTCCTATGATAACAGCAACCGTTTACTGAGTGCGTACTATGGGCCGGGAGCCATGCTTAGGTCTGTGACTGCGTGACTACCATTGATTCAAACCAGGAAGGGTGGGTGCTGTTAAGAAAAGTTCTGTTTTCTAACTCAGAGAGGTTATAAACTTGCCTCAAATCTGCTCTCAAAAAACTAAGAAGGAGGTTGTCTCCAGACTCCTGAAAGACCCACATCTCCCAAAGCAAGTGAAATTCCCACTTCGCAAACTCTGCGTTGCCACCCATTGTTGTCATCTCAGGGCAGCCCAGCCCAACCTTCCCGGGTCACAGGAAAAAGTCTCTGAAGGTTGGCACAAGGGTGGAGGTTCCTGGATGGGCCTGGGCCGAGCAGTCAATTTTCCCTCTTTAGGCAGAACCGGGCTGTGGGCAACCCACTGTGCTTCGGCCGTCACTCAGGGCCTACTAACTCCTACTTTATGTGCACTTATGGCTTGTGTATAATCACTGAACAGGTATTCAAGAGTTAAATTACTAAGGATTTAATTGCAGCAGGATAAATTGAGCTTTTGTATGGCTCAGGTACAACACATTTATGTGCACTTATAACAGACCTCGTGATAACTCCTGACGGCTGATGGGAAATGTTTACCGAGGGTGAGTTTTGAGAAGCTTCTTGTCTTAACGTGGCAAGAAAGAGGATATTTCTTCTTGTAAGATATGGGAGCGTCTGACATAGGGGCAGACACTGCTCAACTAATCCCACTAGGCCCCCAGGACAGGAGTGAACACCCACTACCCCACAGCCACCAGGAAAGGGCTAAGTTACCCTAACAAGATGGGACAGTTTGGAATACTCTAACACAAAAATGTTTAACACCGCCCCCCGAGGCTAAAAGGGGAGTTCAGTATTGATAATTTTGGTAACGATAGTGGGTGACAATGGCTACCACGATTTACTGCCCATGCTGTGCCTGGCACTGGCCTATCCCAGTGTTTCCAGCTTGGGTCTCGGAGCCCAAGTCCATGGAGATACTTTCCCACGGGGCTCTGCCCCCCAAACAGGCCACTTTTATGAGTGGTCTCTGGGCTAAAATGTCCTTGGAAACTGCAAGCCAAACTGAGTTGGAGAACCACTGTGTTTTCCCGTCAGATTGCTCAGAGTTAGCTGGGTGGCCTCCTGAAGGGGTGGAGGAACAGAGAAGGGACGTGGCTTAAATAGGCAGGTACCGAACACAGTAGCTGTGCGACTCGAGGCAAGTCCCTAACCCTCTCTGGGCCTCATTTCCTCCTCTATAAACTGGGGGTGTTAGAGCCGGCCTCACACAGCTGTGGGGAGATTCTCAGTCTGTCATGTGGGGTGCCCGGCTGGCGCTGTCGGTACAGCATGGGACTCTCGATCTCAGGGTGGTAAGTTCAAGCCCTGTGTCGGGTGAATGGATGACTTAAAAATGATAAAGAGATTTTTAAAAATCTTTAATAGGGGTGCCTGGGTGGCTCAGTGGGTTAAAGCCTCTGCCTTCGGCTCAGGTTATGATCCCAGGGTCCTGGGATCGAGCCCCGCATCGGGCTCTCTGCTCAGCAGGGAGCCTGCTTCTCCCTCTCTCTCTCTTTCTCTCTGCCTGCCTCTCTACCTACTTGTGATCTCTGTTAAATAAATTTTTAAAAAAACTTTAAAAAAAAATAAAAATCTTTAGTTAGAAAAACAACAAAAAAAAACAAAGTCCCTCACGGGAACCCATTAGCATAATATCTCCCAGGGGTAGCCGACCGTGCTCTTTATTCACTGACCAACAATCCTTTACTTGGAGCAAATGCTGTCTAGCCAGCCAGTCCTGACGCTGGTTCACATGTGTGTGGCTCCCCTCACCCGCTGTCCCTGCCTCTCTGCCGCAGTCCCACAGCCCCCCGCCCCACCCCCAGCACTGGGGGGAGGAGGGGCCAGACGTGGGGATGGGACTGCCGCCCTTTGTCAGCCAGGCTCCCGGGCTGTGAGAGCCCAGCCCGCCCCCATTGTCCTCCAAGATGCTTGGTCCTCTCCACAGAAACCAGCCAGGCTTTTGTGGCAGAGCGGGCCCAGGATGGAGGGGCTCAGCTCAGGGCCTGGCAGGCCTAGGAGGCAGAGCCAGGGGCCCAGGGCTTCCAGAAAGCTCATCCCCTCAGGGATAGAAATTACTTTCCCAGGGACAAGGTCCCCAGCCAGGCGTCGGGCGCTGGTATCCAGGAATGCTTGTGCCCACGGTGCCCTCACCCCAGCTTTTGGGGGGTCCCCAGGGAGTGGGCTCCCTGCAAAGAAATCACAGTGAGAATGGCCACTCCCAGGCACCCTAGCCAGGGTTAGATTGGGGTGAGCCTGTCCCTCCGTGGCCACTTTTTCTGCAGCATCCGTCTCCTTTGTGTTCTCTCGGTCTCACGGTTCACACGAACATGTGTCTGAGTGTGAATGCACATGTCACTGTCCGTACCCTGGTGTGTGCAGGCACCCATCACACATATGGAGGGCCGTGTGTGTTTGTGTGTGAGTGCACGTGGCCCCTGCTCACGTGGTGAGTTGTGCCCTTGTACGTGCCACACCAGCGTGCAGGTGCGTGTGTGTGTGTGTCTGCAGGTGTGAGTGTGTATGTGGTAGGGCAGGGGGCAGAGAGCAGATCTACACGCCAAGATTCCGTGCCCCTCATGCGCAGGGAGCAGGCCCTCGGCTCCTCTCCTGAGCCCGGGATCCGCGTCAGGAGCCCCGCTCCTCAGCCCCCGTCCCTCCTTCCCTACAAAGTGGGGTCCTCATCCTCCCCGGGGGCCCTTCAGAGAGGAGGAGACAAAGGTGTTGTGAGTAGGCCCCATGAATGGGGAGGAGGGCCCTAGGTAGGGGCCTGGGGAGGCTTGACCTCCCACCCTGGGAGTCGGAGAGGTGCCTCTCCCCCCAGCCAGCAGTGAAGTCCAGGCCACCGGCCCTGGGTTGGCTCCCTCCGCCAGCCAGCAGCGGAGGCGGAGGCGGGGTCAGGGGACTTCCCAGGCCTGGCCCCGTAGCTATAGTGACCAAGACAAAGCGTCCCCAAGACCCCCCAGGAAGAAGTCCAGGCTGCGGGCAGCACACGTGAATCCTCTCGGACAAAAGCAAAACCGTTTGGCGAATGGGGTCTGGCTTAGGAATCCCTTTCAGCCAGGTCTGGGAATGCCGGGGAGGAGGCAGCAGGGGACACACGTGCTCCCCAGTGCCTGGCCACCCCCCAGGGGCCCCAGAGCACCCCCAGCCCCCAGTGCAGGCAAGGGAACACACACATGGAGGGGATGCAGGTGGACGCTGGGCTCCCCTGGCCGCCTTCCCCCTCCTCACCATGATCCACGGGGCTGGGGTCTGCTGCCCCCGCCCCCTGTCCCCTTTCGAGAGCTAAGATACAGCTCAACCCACTTGACAAGTTATAACCCACAACTTGTGCTCGGTCGCAGCCCACCACACCCAGAAAGCCTCAGACCGCGACTCTCAGCTCACCCGGGACAGCTCACAACTTCACCGCACCCACAGCCCGGCGCACACTCACAACAGACTCGGGGATGAGACGCCCACTACCTGCAACCCCTGGCTCCCAGCCTCAGCCCGGGGCTTCCCAGTCCCAGCACGGCTCCCAGGCCGCAGCGCCCCAACCCACGGCCCCTTCACAAAGGCCCCCAGGCCACCCGGCAACCCCCCAAGGCCCAGGACACACACTCCACACAGGCCCGGGGTATCTGCACTGGGAGACAGAGACAGACCCAGCCCCAGTCCCCCGCCCCCACCGCCACCCCAAGGCTTGTGCCCCAACTCACCACCCAGGAGGGTGAGGGCCGGAGCCAAGAGCAGCAGCCGCGGCAGGAGAGGGGCCAGGGGCCTGGAGGCCGGGGTCCCAGGCCTGGCCAGCGCCATGGCAGCGCGCTCAGCTCCCGGCTGTGGGAACAGGCGGCCTGGCTGGCTCCGCACCCCCCTCTCCCTCCAACCAGCACTAATGCCGTGGACAGAGGCCCGGCCCCTCCCTCCTTCCCCTCCCGCCTCCTCCCTCACCCCAGGCCCTCCCAGGCTGCTCCACTGGGAACAGATTCTAGAGGAGGGGTCTGGCCCACCCTGTCTCCCCAAGCTCCAGGGCTCCAGAGAGGCCTCAGGGGGCCCTGCAGGTCTGACCTGATCTTTGTGCACCCCCCCCATCGCCCCTCCTCCCACCTCTCAGGTCCTGCTGCCTCAGCCTCCTGGCTGGGGAGGCTTTCTGTTCTTTTCCCAGATGATGCCCGCTACTCCCAAGTCCTAGGTTATCCCAGCCTGCCGGACACGCCCCCATCTCTTCTCAGCCTGGGTCCCCCTCCCTAGCCCAGGGCTGAGCAGCCAGCAGCCTCCCAGACCTCCTCTTGGCTCAAAAGCCCCAGCCCTTCCCACCCAGCTTGTTCCCTCCCGCTGCTTCCCACCTGAACAGGTACCCCCCAGCCTGCAGCCAAAGCCCCCTTCCCCTCCCCACACTCAGCCCACCAGCCCCTGGTATCTCTTCCTTCTCACTCTCTTAATCCCACCCCTCTCCTTGACCTATGCTAACAAACCGCCCCTCCCAGTGGGGCCCTCAGGATAAGGCCCCTGGCTCCCTTCATCCTCACCAGCCAAACTGAACCTTTTCCATTTCTCCCCTTTGGCCTAAATCTTTGCCTCTGCCATTCATAACTCTGGAAACCTCACTGCAATCCAAGGCACCCTATTCTAGTGAATGACAGTTCCAACTAAGCGAATTTTCCCGCTCCCCTGCTGGGAAGTCCTTCTTGTTGTCTAACCTTATAGTCTCCTGCTGCACTTGATGTTTGCTTGCTGCCAGCTGGAAAAGGGAATGTTGTTTGCAGGGGTGGGGGTATGTGTTCTTTGGGGGACCTGGACTCAGGAATCCCGTGGTGGGCTCTGGGATGTGCCCTGACATCTGGAAGGCAAAGTCTGGAGAGATAGACCTGAGCCGTGAATGAGGGAGCTCAGGCAGTGCTAGCAGGTCCACGGAGGGAGGGAGGAGAAGGGCAGTGGGCATTACACAGCACATGGGTGGCCCAGAGCCACGCTGGTCCTCCAACCCTAGCAAAGTCCTCAGAAAGGGAGCCAAAGACCTGGGTGGACCCCTGGTCCACATCCCACATCATCCCCACCTGGAGTCTTGTTTCCTCTGGGATGGGAGATGCTCCTTGGTTTCTGGGACTCTCCTCAGAGGGTCCCTGCCTCTCACATACCAGGAGCTCCCACCACCCCTAAGACCCTCCTCCACCCTGTGAGAAAAGCGCAGACCCCCGCCGCTAAATAGATCCCAGTTTGAGCACAGCTCTACCACTGATTGGCCGAGTCATCTCAGCACGTGACTTCCTCCCCAGGCCTCAGTTTCCTCATCTGTAAAATGGAAATAACAGTTCCCACCTGGTAAAGCTTTAATGAGCTAAAGCTGCAGTGAAACTTCTGTTCATTCTGTGTCTCAGAGGTTCCTGAGAGTTCCAAGCAGCCCGGGGAGCTGCGCACAGAACTGAAGGGCTCCCCTACCCGCTCCCATCCCTCCTACCCCATCCACCCCCGGTCCCCGGCCGCAGGGCCGCGGACACAGACATGCGGCTTTTACACTGAACCCTGAGGTCAGCAGGACGCGGGTCCAAACGCCCACCGCTCCCCGCCCCTGTCCTGCAGCTGCTACGCGCCACCGTGTGGCCAGACCTGGGAGTGTCGTGCGAGGTCCGGAGGGCACTGGATGGGCGGAGGCGGACGCGGAGGGATGGATGCGGAAACAGCGCGGGCGCGGGAGCCCCAAGTGAGCGAGGAGGCGGCGGCTGGGGGGCCACCGCTTGGCCGGAGGCCGAGGTCAGACGGGGCAGGCCGTCCTGCCGCACTCCCTGTTCGGGTCTGGAGAAGAGACAGTGAGAGTGGGCCAGCCCCGCCCGACTGGATGGGAGTGTTTCCCCACCCGGTCCCACTGGGGGGGGGCGGCTGTGAAGGTGGAGGGGGACCTTTTATTACCCCCTCAACAATACTGCAAGGTCAGCGCTGCCCCCATTTTACAGATGAGGAAACGGAGGCTCGGGAAGGTGAGATTGGCTGCTGGGGTCCCACAGCTCAGCCGTGCAGGGGCGGGATTCCAGCTCGGGCCGCCTGACACCAGCCCTTTCCACTTCTTGAGTCTTTGACTCCAGGCTGAGTAAGTGCGCTCGAGGATTCACTCTGCTCGGGGGCTACTTGCTGACTTCCTGGTCGAGGGCACCCAGCAAGAGGAGCCGAGGGAGATGTGACAGGAAAGCTTAGTGCTGGGTGGCCCCACCTTTGGCGTCGCCCCACTTTGTATGAATCCTGAATCTGCTGTCTGCCCTCCGGCAAGGTTTTGTGGGTCTGTTTTAGTTTTTCGATCCTCGTTTCCCCATGTGGAAGTTGGGATAACAGTATCTCCATCGCAGTGCTCTGAGTGGGCTGCCGGCCCCAGGAGCGGTGCATCCCCCTCCCCCCACCTCAGCCGCTGCTCCCCGCTGAGGGGATCTCCAGGAGGGATGCCTCTGGACCCTTCCAAGCGAAGCCTGCCCTGGATCCCCCCACCAGGGGCCTGCATCTCCCTTTTCAGGGGACCCTGTTGGTTATTCTGTCTCCCACTCTCCACACGCAGGGGGGAGGGACCCCTCCTGCCCCCATACGGCCCACTGATTCCCAAGGACTTCCTTCCCTCTGGCTTCCCGGAAGTGGCATGTGGTGGCACAGCAGGAGAGATGAGGGAGGAGGGGAAAGCCCGGGGTATTTCCTCCCTCTCTGCCACCCCTCCCCCCCACAGCCCTGCACCCCACCGCCCGACGCTGCTGAGGACAGCTCCAAGCACAGACCCCTTTGTTGCTTCAGCTCTCACCAGCTCAGTGACCCAGTTCCCTTCGTAGCCAAGTGGGACCCCCTTTAGCCCTGACCTCCCTGACCTCTCAGAGGCCTTCCCCACTCTCACCCTCTCCCTTCTTCTTAGAACATTTTCCCCTGGCTTCCCTCCTACTTTCCTGGCTATCCCTTGCTCTCTCTTTCCTCCCCAAATGTTGGGGTGCATGGGGATCTGCTCCCATCCCCCTGCCCTTCTCACACCTCCCTCCCTGGGTGAGCCCGCGGATGCTTGTGAGCTCTCTGCCAGTGGTTTTTAACCATGTCAGTTCCCCCCTTGATAGGTATCTCATATCACCCTTTACTCCCCTGCAACGAAATAGCATACTATGCATATAATTCTCCAAGGAGAACCATCCCAACGCCCTAACTGAAATATCAGAATGAGTCATTATAGGCTAATGGTGAAGTGCACAAAAACTGGTTCAAATCCTGGCTTCTACACTTTCCAACTGTGTGACCTTGGGTAAGTCCCTTACCCTCTCTGTGCCTTAGTTAGCATTCCAGTAAAAAAAAGGGGGGGGATTTTTTTTCCCTTCTATGTAGTACTTAGCTGCATAGAGTTATGAGGATTAAGTGAATAATTATTCATGAAGTATTTAGAACAGTGCCCGGCACATGCTAAGAGCTGAGCGAGTTCTGATTAAATTAATAAGGAAAGTAATTTAAGAGGAGGTGTATTTCAAGTTGTAAATACTTTCATTGACTACCCTAGAAAGACATGATAAAAGAGCAAGACGCCTGTTCCTATACATAGAGTCCCCTGAACGTGACAGACCCAAATGTGGACCAGTGAGGGCTTGTCAAGTTGCAACTCAGATACCACAGTAGTGTTAACATCAAGTATGTCATTTTCCGGAACAGTGACAACTCTGGGGAAAGTTCTGAACAAGATAAAGAGCACTATTCCTTCCATTTACATGGAAACCATATATCTGGCAATTTAAGTGTATGTCAAAATTCAGAGCTTTCATACAAAAATGCTCTGTACTTGTGAGCAAGACTTGGGCTCTTGCTCAGACACAAACAGGTATTTTTTTCCTCTATTTAGATACCTGGTAGAACATTCCAAAGTCAAAGGGCATATGGGACATTCTTGGTGGTCTGGTCTGAACATCGCAGGGTGTCCAGAACCCCGGTCCCCACACTCAGTGCCAGCCGTGGCCCCTAGTCATCATGAAAACAGCACTCCCTAAGATTCCCCCCAAAAGCATTCAGGAGGCCCCTGGCTTCTACACCAACTGCCAGAATTTTCCAAATCCCAATTGTGTCTCCTTGGCTTCCAGGCCAAGTTCAAATTCCTGAGCCTGATGCCCAAATTCCTCATAATTCAGCTCCCTGCTTACCTTCCCACAGACACAGATGCATATCATGGGGTTTCACCCTCTCCCCTCCCCCCTACATCCAGTTGCTCTGTGTTCCCCCCAGCTCCCAACTAAACACACGTACACACACCAGGGGTTTTGTGGGGGGTTTTTGTGTGTTTTTCTGGCAAGTCTTCACTCCCAGGGTCTGCTCCCTGGAAAGCTCATTGCTCCTCCCTCCACCTGGTTAAATCCTGTGCTGATGACCTTGCCAATCCTTTAAGACCTGGTCTGGCATCCCCGCCTCAGAGCAGCCTCAGTCCCCTTCCCAAGGCTTGACTGGGGTCTCTCCTGTCCTTCCCTAGCCCTGTGGGCTTCCCCGAATGACCTCAGCACTGACCATCCCATGTTCCTGTTGCCAGTGTCCATCTTAGGATGTCTGTACTATCCTAAAGCAGAACACATAGCAGGTGAGAGCCATTCAGCCCTTGGCTTTCAGAAGCTCACATCTAGTGGAAAGACAGACACATGGACAACACCAGGAGACACTTGCTTAGAGCCTGGTGGGAGCCCCGAGGACAGAGAGGCCAGCCACCAGAGAGGAGGTGGAACCTTGGGTGTGGATAGTTTTCCAGGTAAAGAAGGAGACAAAAGGCTTAGCTGGCTGAAGACTCAGTGTGGGTCAAGGTCACTTGTTCTGCTTTCCCATCAGGGACTGCAGGCAGGTGAGCATGGCCTGCGGTCAGGACGGGGAGTGGCTGCAGTCA